TGAGGTGTGTATGCCTTTTCATTTACACATCGTAGTCGCTCAGGAACTTTGTAAATACAACACGAAGAGATAGAGGAGATAAGCTATCCAATTCCCTTCTCATGGAAGTTTCTAATGTAATGTCAACTGGAGCAGCTTGATTGCTTCCTTCCATTTTCCTCTTGATGGCTTTTGTGATTTTATTAGATGACGATGATGCTTATATATTTCTGGCAGAACAACAAATCTTTCAACATTAAAACTCCAAGATGCTAAATTAAACGTTAAAATAAATAAATAAAAAGGCTAATGAAACCTATATGCCCAGGTGAGGGGCATGCCACAAATTTATTTCAACCTGTAGATAAACATGTAGATCTTGTATATATTGCAGTTCTATGCTGTTAAGAACAACATTATAGGATTGCCCCGCAATATAGTATCAGTTTAATGATCTAAATAGTCTATCTTTTATCTTCTTTGATCCTGGATTAATTGCCAAATGTAATTAGAACATTTGGTTATCTAATTGTTGTGTGCTAAATAGATGAACACACAGTCCTTTCAGTTAACAAAGAAAAATCATTATGATAATCACATGGTTAAACTATAATGGGCTTCTTAAACCACGTCCTTAGACAAATTTTTTAGGGAGGATTTGGAAAAATTCTACTCCAACCATGCTTCCTATCCACCACCTAAAATAGGGAGATCTCTAGGAGCTCCTAAATCTGAGGAGAGAGAGGACTTCTAGTGACTCACTATAATTTAATGTTGCTTTATTTTATGAGTATTTTAAACTTTTAATTAATGTTAACTATTATATATATATATATATTTATAAAGATGGACCAATTAAAAAAGAGTTATAGCATTTATGAGTCCCTAAACTAGAGAGTATGATTGAAGTTAAAATTTTATAGAGAGGTCCTAAAATAGCTTTTGCATGTTTTTAGCAAAATATAGAGAGCATGATTGTAGATGCTTTCAAATCTTTTTTTCTTTTCTTCTTGATTTTTTTTTTTTTTTTTTTTTGCACGGATGTTTCTTATATACTGTGGATGTCTTGATATATAGAATCTCCCATAGTAGGAATCCTAAATCCTGCACCGAAAATATATAAGATCCTAGATTGTGAATTAATTTGGGTTGGATGCTATACTACCAAAACGCAGAGAATTCATGTGTCAAGCTCAAATAGAATTAATCGGTCCGCGGATTTAACTCACTCCCCGCAACTCCATATATAACAAACTAAAGCTTCAAGAAAAAGGGTGTTCAAAAATAGCAATTAGAAGTATGGAACCAAAACAAATTATTAACTCAAAACTAAAAAGAGATGGAAGTGATTAAAACACACCTCCAAAGCTTCTTTTGCCTCTTAAAGCTGACTGGAAAAGTTCAATGCAGATAGTTTGAGGTAGAACTTTCTCCTATTAATAGCACAATGATGAGCTACATGTAAGAACAAGTTGATTTAATCTTCCATTAAAAACAACAAATTGCTTTAATAATGATAATTAAAATAAGTATGATACCTTTAGAATTCAAATCAGTTTTGAGCTTCATTGCTTTTAACATTTGCGGAGATTCATTATTATTATTAACATTTGCGAAAATGGACTTTAGAAACACAGTCAAAGCTCATTTACAACATAATTAAGAGGCTCCAAACTTCCTATAAATTACATTACTGCCATCGATTTCTTAAAACAAACTCAACCCCAAAACCTAGAACATAAGTTTAAAACATTCTAATAAGCTCAATACATATGGTCTGCCTATATATAGGATGAAAAAAATTACATAAACAACATATATAACTATATGTTTCTTTTAAGAATAAAAAAATACCTATATGTTTGAGAAACAAAATAATAAAACTAAAACATAGGTTAAAAACATTCTAATAAACTCAATACATATGGTCTACGTACTATATAAGATGAAAAAATTACATGAACAATATACCAACACCATGGGAACACTCCTGTATATTTGAACACATAAACACGTGTTCAAGGTTATATATTTCATTACCTTATTGGCAGAGTCGTCTCTCTCTGATAAGGCTGACAGATACAGTCGTGGGAAAGTAAGGATCACCTTGTTTTGGGTCCTCTTAGAAGTTCCTCAAGAGTTGCGTGGGGACTCTCTAGTTGCTTTCAAAACAAGGTCGAAAAAAAAACATGAAACAACTATGAGGGCACAAACTTGTACCGTGTATCTATAGGCAGCAAGCTCGACCATACAATAAAAAATATATATATATATAAAAAAAGAAGAAATCAATTTTCTTACATGCATGAATGTGGTTATCTTTCCTTTGAATGTGCATAACTACAGAAGGAAGGTCCATTTGTCTTCTACAGGTTGGAGAGCCAATATTCCAAGTCGAAGTTCTGCCATAGACTTGCATGCACCATATGTTTATGGTCATGGAAGGATAAGGGTGGAATCGTAACTTGTTATATATAGTACATCATTGTGCTATTATTATATTAAGAGAATTTATTAGTTCCTCTATCAGCTCAGGAGAAAGTAATCCTGAGTCAACCTGACAATTTACATTGTTTGCCATAAGTCAATCTGACAGTTTTGATTATGGAGTGGAACCTCAACTTCCTTCATAAGAGTGACTTAAAGCAAAAATGATAGAAACTTCCAATTTCTACTAAAATTCAGGACACACATATATGATGAATCTGAGTACCGCAGAGAAATTAATTTTAGTAGAAATTGGTAGACATAAGAAGTTGGTAAAGTAGAACACTCTATAGATTTTTGTAGAAATTATGTGCTTCCGAAATCTTGGGCTTCTATTAAACATATTTAATTTATGCATATTCTTCTTCCTCACGTTGGTGGAACACATTTCCATTGATGGAAGATCAAGAAAAAAAAAAGTAAATAACAAATTAAGTCATCAAACACTGACAGAGAAAGTAAAATCACAAGTTCTACAAATCCAAATTTAACGTAATTGGTGGAAGGAAGTTCATCTTTTGTCTAGGTTTGACATTAAAGTTTCAACTTTTTACATGTCACAGATATAGCGGTAAAGTGATCTAGTCTTTTGAGAAGAAGTATAGTCTTTGGGAGAGTAGAGAAATAGGTTTTGTAAACTCATCACATGAGTAATCTGGATTAGTGAGTGGTGGAGAGACTGGAAGAAAAAATGATAAAAACTTTCAATCTCTAACAATTTCTACGTGTTACAAATCTCTAACAATTTTTACATGTTACGAAATTAGTGTTTATCATTTTATAGATACTAACATAAACTCTAGTATATGTTAGCATAAGTTCGAAAGATCATCCCATGACAGAAGTTAAGTTACGAAGAGGTTAGTAAACATTATATAGAATGTGTCTAGAATAAGTGTGTAAGTACTTCTTGTAATCATCGTTCTAAAATTGATTTGTTTTGGACTAAAAAGTCCCGTGGATTATACCCAGAGATAGAGTTTTACCAATGTTTCCCTCTTTTTGGCCGGGGTGGCCGACGGAAGGAACTTTTGGTCCTTCTTCTTTGGATGCGGGATGTGCCACCACCAAGCCCCAAATTTGGACTTGAATGGAATGTGAATAGATGGATGTGTTGTGCTTCTAACTTCTAACCAAGCGATTGATCAGCCAAGCAAGGAACCTCCTCTTGGCCTAGATTCTTTCACTTTTTCAGGCTCGAGAATGGTTAGATTTCGTACAGATGTTTTTTTGTGATTTTTATGATTTTAAGTAAAAATAATGCAATTAAACTAAATATGCGTATGAACGTAAAGAAAAGAATTGAAATGCGATAAAATAAATCAAAGCGATAAATAAAGCAAGAACGAAATAAAAGCGATAAGAACGATAAGAACGAAAAGGAAATAAACTTGAAATTAAGGGTTCAATTTTGAACCCTTAAATATATAAATATAAAATCAGTTTTGAACTTTCGGCCGCATGTGTATATATACTAAGGCAAGTGCCAAAAACCCTTCAGCCCGATTTTTTAAAGAGACCAAATACTCCAGCTGCTAAAATCCTTGCAGCCCTCCGCCTCTCTAGTCGTGAAAAACCTAGGCATCAATCACAAATAAAACCCGACCGCATCTCCTTGGGCACCCAAAATTCGCCCACAACTCGGGCTCCGAATCTCGGCCGCGAACCTCCTTCCAAACTGGGCCAAATCCCGACCGTTTTCTCTAGCCCACTTGGTCACTACGCCCCAACAGATCCGACCGCTTTAGATGCCAAAACCCGGCCGAGATTAAATCCCCAGCCGCCTTCGAGCTGCCTGGCCGCAGTCTTTGCCCAGAAGCCGGCTGCAATTTTTTCACATAGTCCGTCCGCAATTTATTCGCATGGCCCGGCCGTGATTTTTTGACAGGTTTTTTTAGGTTTTAGACATAAAAAAAATTTCACTTTTTGAAAAAGCCAAAGCTTTTTCAAAAAAGACAAAAAAACCACTCAACTTTCAAATCAAAGACATGCAAATGTATTGGATTCCTTAGGAAATCTAAAAATAAATAAGGGTATTTTTGTCCATTTTTGCTTCTTTTAAAAATTTTCTCTCTCCTTTTGCTTTTTCCAAAATGTCCCTTTTTTGACAGCCCCAAACAACCACATAAAATTATTTTCTACGTGTTCCTTTATTTACATTATGTACATTCAAGAATTGATATCACTCATCAATCCTATGGGCATGTTTTTATTCCTTTATTACACAAACTCTGTGAACGTACTATTGACCTCCCTTATAGTGTTTTAACCTATCCTACAGGTACAATTTCAATGTCATTCAGATTTGTTTTTTTTGTTCAAATCTGTTTTCTTTTTGTGAAGTTGGGTCCCAAGGCCCAAAACGCAAAAGCTACCTCGAAGCATTTCCTGGGCCTATACAATCCTCAAGAAGAAGACAGGCCCAACATGATGGGGAAGGAGTCCAAGATTAAACAGCTCACGTCCAAGGAAGGAGAAAAGGCAAGAAATCTATGAGTTGACCTGAATTTTAAATCAACTTGTTCTTACAATTACCCGATCATTGTGCTATTATTAAGAGAAACTTTCTCTTGCATCTACGGCCGGAGAAAGCAATATGCAAGTGAGCTTTTCTAGTCATTAACCAAAGGCAAAACAAACTTGGTCCTTCCTTTCATACATATACATATCAGGTGGGAATTCCTTTCCTTCTCTTTTTTTACTTTTTATTCTTTTTATTTCATAATATTTCTTCTGGATTACTGTATTGTTCTATAAATTGCTACGTACCTTCCATTTGCCTAGAGGTTTAAGTCACTTATGTTTCATGGTTGTTTTGATCGAGGAGTAGGATATATAAATATGGACATATAATCTAAATAAGTTTTTAGAGTTAAGTACCACATGTGACTCATTTTAATTAGCAGTTGTTCGTGTAGTGGTGGTATAAGAGTTGCAAGCAGTGAGGTTTTTCTGTGTTCTCTTATGATGAGTTCAATATTTGGTATTTTCATTGTAATTAAAGGGCCTGTTTGATAACTATTTCAATTTTAGTTTCTAGTTCTCATTTTTTGTGTTAAGAGTATAGAGGAAAATGAGAGAGAATGGAAGTGAGAATGAGAGTGAAGATGAGAATGAGAGGGAAGATGAGAGGAATGAGTAATAAAAGTGAAAACAAAAACTAAAAACTGAAATCTATTTGAAATTGTCTTAACTTTTGTTATTCATCCTTTGCATCTTCCCCTCTTATCCTCTCTCTTAATCTCATCCTCACTCTCATTTTCTTCTATACTATCTAGCACAAAAAATGAAAGATTGAAAACTAAAAATTAAAATTGAAATAGTTATCAAACGGGCCCTAAATTTCAAGAAATAAATTGACACATTGGTCAAAGTTGAGGGGGGTTATTTGTATCTTATACTCTATCGATTTTCTTAGGGGTGGCCTTTTGTGCCGTCACTTTGGTTTGCTCAGCATAGCACATCAACAGGAAAATGGAAGAATGCAATCAAGCTGGTCCAAATGACACAATTAACATGCCATACGTTCCATTAGAAATTTCATTGGGGGAGGAGTTAGATAGCTTGCCTGCCTTGTCCTCTTCGTGTTGTATCTACAGAGTTCCCGATGACATACGATGTCTGAATGAAAAGGCCGACACACCTCAGGTCATCTCCATAGGTCCACTTCATCATGGCAAGGAAGGTTTAGAAGCCATGGAAGAGCAGAAAAAGAGGTACCTACGAGATTTTATACGTCGGACTAAGGTAAGCTTGAAGGACTATATCAAGAAAATTAGGGACCAAGAAGCAAGACTGAGAAGTTGTTATGCAGAACCCATCAAGTTTAGCAGTGATGAATTTGTAAAAATCATTCTAGTGGATGCTGCCTTCACTATTGAGTTCTTATTGAGGTTCTATCTGAAAGAATCTGGACACGAAGGAGATCGCTTATTAAACAAACCGTGGATGTTCAGATATGTACAGCCTGACATGTGGATGCTTGAAAATCAGCTCCCATTCTTCATTCTTGAGGATCTTTATCACACATACATAATAACCGACTCTTTTAGGAATTATTACAGTACTCATGATCATGAGAGGCTTTCAATAATTAATATTTCTAAGAATTTCTTCACAGCTGGAATATTGAATTTGGAGGGGAAGGGAGACAAATGGAACAGAATATCATCTTCTTCTAGTTCTATTAATGTGCAACACTTTGTTGATCTTATAAGAATTTTCTATCTACCATTGGAATCAGAATTAAGAGATGCGGGGGAGCTCAAAACCTTGAACATACCTAGCATCAAAGAGATGCACCAAGCTGGAGTCAAAATTAAGGTAGGATCAAGCAAAAACTTAGTCGACATACAATTTGCAAATGGAACTCTCATAATTCCTAAAATAATGATAACTGGCGACAAACTGCGGACCCTGGGAAATGTCATTGCCTTTGAACAATGCCATTGCATGGAAGACAACTACTTAAACGATTATGTTAGCATCATGGGTCGTTTTGCGAACACTCCAAAGGATGTGGAGTTGCTTGTTGAGTTTGGAATTTTTGAAACTGCGGGTACCACCAGCGTGGTGTCATCTATGATTACCAAACTTGCCTCTGAGGCTCTTTTCTTTGTCGATAGATTCTGTTACGCGACTCTGTGTGAAGAGCTGAACAACTTCTGCAGATCGTCCTGGAACAAATGGAAGGCAAATTTGAGACAAAATTATTTCAACACACCTTGGGCATCTATTTCTGTCATTGCCGCTGTTGTTCTCCTCACACTCACTCTCATACAAACGGTGTGCTCTGTTATCTCTGCTACTTAACCATTAAAGGGTAAGTCCCTGCTTTGCCGCTTTCTCTTCCGACAATAATATGTAGACTCATCTCTGTTTTTATTATTTATTTATTCACTTTTGGGAAACTAGTAGTATTTCGGGTCCTCATCAAATAAAGGGATCCGAGGAAAGCCTGTGAACTCAATTCCTTAATCTATGTATATCATGAGAAGAGCTCTTTAAAATCCAGATGATGAATGTAATATTTCTATTGTTTGTCCAAATTTTCACCAGCAGGTTCTTCCTATCCAGATTGTTTCTGATGAAATATTATTTATTTCTGTGTTATAAATTTGTTAGTAATGAAAAAAGAGAGAAAAAAAAAACTTCCAATATCCACCAATCTCTGTAAAAATTAATTTGTTTTATGATTAATTTCTCCATGGTGGTGATCAAATCTTTATTCTTTTTGTGGTTAAGTTGGATCCCAAGGCCCATAAACACAAAAACTAACTCAGAGCATTCCTGGGCCTAGAAACCGCTATGCAATCCTCAAGAAGAAGACAAGCCCAACATGATGTGGGAAGAGTCTAAGACTAAACAGCACAAGTCCAAGGAAAAAGCATATAAAGAGAGTTTGATATTTTTCATCATCAAATCCGTTAAGAATTTTATGTATTTATTATTTTATGTATTTTTAGTACAAGTGATAGGAAGGGGTTTCTTACACACACACAACTAATGTTATGGAGGTTTGAACCTGAGACATCTTGTCTGCAAATCAAGACCATTTTTCACTCCGCTAGACCCCGTTGGTTTTTTTTTCTTTTCTTATGAGCATTTTAAATCTAGTAAGAAACAACCTCATTTTTTCCGGAACATTTTCATGGAATAAGCATTGCAGACTCTGCACAAAGGACACAGAAACTTCACCGAAACAGAAAAGCAGATACAAAACTTATAGTCGACAAACCCTTGTACAAAATGTTGGTTCTTTAGTTGTCGTGGGGCCTGCAATGGATTATTCAAACTTCCCCAAGACGTGCATAGACATGTCAAAGCAAAGGCAAGGAAGCTACATGGGGAGTTGACCTGACTTCCAAACCAGATTCACTAGTTCTTATACTGAAATGTAGCAGAAGAGCAACCTATCGGCATTGACCTTTTCTAGCTACTCATCTACCAACTGCAAAAAAAAAAAACAAAAAACAAAAAAAACAAAAACAAAAACAAAAACAAAAAACAAAAAAAAAAAAACTTGGGTTTCAATCCATAGCAGGTATGTTTTCAATGCCCAAACTCCTTTCTCTGTCTTTCTTTATTTTTCTATGTTTGCTTGCACATCCAATTTCTTGAAGCTTTTTAAGTGTCTTGTGTTTCATTTTAGTTGGAAATTGGAATTGAGCAAAAGGTTATGTGAATGTCGTATATAATTTTCTTCTCTTCTAATGGGATTTTGGTTTGTCAATGTTTTGACTGGAAGCATAATCTACTATCTGATATCATTACACAAAGAATTTGTTTTATTAGAATCTCCAATAATGCAGAACACGAAAAAGATTTTTTATTATTTATAAATGTAAGAATTCATTCAAGACTTTCAATTCTTTTCCCTTCGAACACATAAAAAAAATGGCGTTTGTATGTTAATGTAAATTAAACTTTCGTACTGATTCACATGATTAGTAGGAATTTTTCAATCAAAACTGAATTAGAATCTTCCAAGAATAATTACAAGAAACAGAGTTGACCAGAAGAGTTTTGAATGAATTTGGTGCATTCAAATCAAATTCTTAAGGCACTAGTGTGGTATGTAAGAGTTACAAGGATCAAAAGTCTTTGTGTGTTTGGTCTTATAGTTGCAATGTTTGTATTAATTTTCTCAACCATCTTGAAAAATTTGTTTATTGTTGTGTCAGTGACTATCATTTCATTATCATCCTTTACGATTGACAACAACAAACACATCAGCGCGGAAAATGGAAGGAAGCGATCAAGCTCCACATGACATTGAAAACCCTTGCATTCCATTAGTAACTTAGAGTGAGGAGTTGGATGGCTTGTCTCCCCTCTCCTCTTTGTGTTGCATTTATAGAGTTCCTGAACGACTGCGGCGTGTGAGTGAAAAGGCCTACACACCTCAGGTAGTCTCTATAGGCCCACTTCATCATGGCAAGCAAGGCCTAAAAGCCATGGAAGATCACAAAAAGAGGTACTTACAAGATTATATACGTCGGACCAGGGTAAGCCTTGCGGATTATGTACAGAAAGTAAAAGACCAAGAAGCAAAACTGCGCAGTTGTTATGCAGAAACCATTCAGGTTAGCAGTGATGAATTTGTGAGAATCATTCTAGTGGATGCCGCCTTCATCATTGAGGTCTTGTTGAGGTATCGTTTTGATGAATTGCATGATGAAAATGACTGCATATTTAACAAACCATATATGTTGCAGGACGTATGGCCTGACATGCGGTTGCTTGAAAATCAGCTGCCATTCTTCATTCTTGAGGAACTTTTTGACCCCGACAAAATCAAAGTCTCTTCTAACAATAACAATATTGAAAGGCTTTCGATACTCAACCTTTGCCACAATTTCTTCAAAATCTAATGCACATAGAGGGAACAGATGGCAATTTGGAGAAATTATGTGCTTCTAAAGTAGAACACTTTGTAGAAATTTGTATCTACCTCTACCATTGAAACCACATGCTAAAGGGCGACTTGAAACTCTAAACACACCCAGCATCACAGAGATACACAGAGCAGGAGTCAAGTTTAAGGTGGGATCACCCAAAAACTTATTCGACATACAATTCGCTAATGGGATTCTAGAAATTCCAAAATTAGCAATAAGTGATGAGACAGAGCTTACAATCAGAAACCTCCTTGCCTTTGAACAATGCCATTGCATGGAGAATTACATAAACGATTATGTTGTCATCATGGATCGCTTTGTGAACACTGCAAAGGATGTGGAGTTGCTTGTTAAGCATGGAATCATCGAAAATAGTCTTGGTGACAGTAGTGAAGGGTCTACAGACTACTCTGATTAACAACCTTGCGGATGGGGTCATTGTGGACCCTAATGACTTCTATTTTGCTATTCTTTGTGCAGACCTCAACAAGTACTGCAGAACGTCTTGGCACAAATGGCAGGCAAACTTGAGACAAAACTATTGCAACACACCTTGGGCAACTATTTCAATTGCTGCGGCTATTTTTCTCCTCATACTCACTTTTATACAAACAGTGTGCTCTGTTATCTCTGCTCTGCCTTCTAAGCGTTGAGAGAGTAAGTCTCTTCTTAGCCGTTTTCTCCTTGTCATTTCCTTTTGGTCCTCCGCATGACACGAGCTGGGTTTGTCACTAGCCTAGAGGTGTAAGAGAGCTGGAGAAACAAAAAGTTAGTGTATATGTAGAAAATATAGCCTCTGTTGTTAGTGAAAGTGAGCTGCGTGCATGTAGAGTGATGGAAGCAATGTGGTTGTTTTATTTGTTTCTCTATGCTTGTTCGGTATGAAACTGTTGAAATTTTATAACTTTATTGTTAATCCGAGAGCTGTTATGTTGGGTACTCCAATGTAACAAATCATTGAAAATCTCATGTCGGTAGATACTATAGTCATTAATCTAAGACATGCATATATTTTCCTCCCTTTCTTGAGCTCTATAATTGATAGTTGATTCCGAACCAAAAAAAGAAGAAGAAGAATTCATAATTGATTTATTATTTTTCCAACTATATGCAGGAGGACCTATAGCCTTTTCGAGTGTATAATTAATTAGCACGAAGAAAAGGATAGAATTCTTTTCTTGCAGACCCATACATAAATGTAGATTCGATACATTTACACAGTCCACCGGTTGAATCTCTTCATAGCCACCAAAAGATTGCAAAAAGTTCACAATATTTTTAACGTCTGATAATATAAATATCCAAAAATTATGGTTTTGACTGAACCTAGTAGCGTGGGCTTGTAACTAAGTAGGACATTAAAGTGATTGGTTGCTATGGAAACCTTCTCAGGTGAGGCATTAGTGGTCTTCAAATCTTCACCTTGGCATTGGTGTGTGAAGTTGCACAAAGCACATCCCCTACCCTCGGGGTTAGTAGAGTCTCCCCACCACAAATCACACAATCCATATCCACCCCTTGGAATCTCCATAACCCCCAAAAAAGTTTCAAAAAAAAAAATCACAAAATTTTTGAAATGTTTGATAATGAATGTACACAAATTATAAAAATTAATGCGCCGGGAAGGGATCTTCTAATTTTTTCACCCCCAAGCCCCCAAAAAAAAAAAAAAAAACCCAGTTAATTTAAGTAGAAATCAATGAAGTGCTTTATTTCACTAAGCCAAGCTTGATGGTGAAGAACTGATCAACTAATATTTCTTTTGCAGGTTCTGAAAGAAAAAGTAAAGAGGAAAAAGAAAACATTGCTTTTCTGCTTGTATTATTATTCGAACCAATTAAACCAGGGCTGCTCATAAGCGCTTCTATTATAAAAATGTTGAAATCTTCATAAGAAATCCAAGTGCCTCCTGGTAAAGCAATTGGGAGTGCTAGCTTATTTAGAAAGCGTTTCTAAACTTTTAAGTCAAAAGCTACAATAAGCACTTTTGGTTGTTAAAAAATCGCTTTTAGCTATTGACGAGGAGAGAAGGATCCGTGAGCATACCGACGAGCATTTTGAGGGATCTCAGACTAGTCAGTTAGAGACAAACTGGCAGGGGAGAGAACGAGATTGTGCTGATGAGATGCAGACATCCGCAAGCTGTACTTTGAGCTGATCGACGATCCATTCAAGACTACGCTCACAGGAGGCACGAGCCCGTGAACTATTGCGTAACGAACGCAACGACTGATGTTCACTAACCTATTTGAGAACCAACTCGCGGCGACAACTCATGGAGGAATCTTCGCAAGCTTAATCCACCAATCTGCCTCATGGGCAGGGCAACAAAGGAGGTCAACCTCTTCAAGTCGACGAGGAAGTCAACCATCCCTGCCTGAATCACGAGGGTCGCCAATGTGATCGGCAAGGCATGCGAGCGGAGGAAGTCGAGAAGCTCGTAAACGACCGAATTCGTAACTTAAATATTGGTGGAAATTTCGAAGATGCTCTACGCAGGGAGGTGGACCAAGCAAACTCTACGCCCTTCACTATCGAACTCGAGCAAGCAGCTTCTGCTAAGAGATTCTCAACGCTTTCATTCACGCATTTCAAAGGGGATTCCGATCCCGAGAGCCATCTAAAGCACTTCAAAAGTATCATGACATTATACAAGGCTAACGACGCGCTGATGTGCAAGGTGTTTACAATGACCTTGCAAGGAGCAGCCCAAGACTGGTTCCACAGCTTGCCACCTAGGTCGATCAGCAACTTCAAGGAGCTAGCTCACGTCTTCACCAAAGAATACACTTCTTACCGGACGATCAAGAAGAACCCTAACCACCTGTTCAACCAGCAAAAGAAGGATGATGAATCCCTCCGAGATTACATCAAGAGGTTCAAAGCAGAAAGGGCAAACATCATTGGATGTGACGATCGAATTGCATCATCGGCCTTCAAGAGGGGCTTGCCAATTGAGTGTGAGCTGTATCACGAGCTGACCATCTCTCCTTGCCAAACACTAGTAGAAGTCTTCGCGACAGTAGAGCGCTATGCACTTTGGGACGAGGACCGGACCTCCGCAAAGAAAGCTGCCGATCAACCGGTTGAGCCGGCAAGCCCGAAGAAACGACATGATAAAAGATAAGGATGGGGGCAAGCGCGGATTACAGCCTCAGGGAGGTGCTCCAATAGCTGAGAGCTGCACCAAGTTCACTATTCCGATACGGCAGATCCTAGCCCAAGTAAAGAACATGCCTTGGTTGAAGAAACCATCGCCTTTGAAGGGAAACCCAGCCAAGAAGGATACCAGTAGATACTGCGAATTCCATGAAGGGCACGGTCATTACACAAATGATTGCTTCGCTGGGAAAAAGCACCTCGAAGAACTGGTCGAAGATGGCCATTGCACAGAATTCGTCGCAAGTGGGGCTTCCAGAAAATCAAAGATCGTGAGGCAGCTGCCAATGAACCTCCACGAAAAAAGTCATACGGATCAGCACGATCCTAGTCGACTTTAAGAGTTAGAGCTGACCATCGAGGAGCAGGAGAGAAAGATCATGCAAGCGACAAGCGCAAGTCTCCCAAGTTGTCACCAGCTACCCGGTCATGGAAGACGATATCGACATCATCTTTTAAAGGAAGGAAGTTCCAAGACAACGAAATGCCCATCACCTCCGAAGGTACTATCCATGAAGCTCATCGCCTATCAGCTCGGCTCTAAGCAGGTGGCCAGGCCTCCCTCACCTCCATTGAAGACAAGTTACTTTTGATGTTACCCTTGCAACTCATCTCTTTTGTTCAATAAAGCAATGTAGTCACACATACATCAATACAAGTTTAAGCTTTTCTTTCCAATGAAGTGTTCACAAATGCAATCGGCACGTCTCTAGACGTAGGCCAAACGGGCCACTCTCATCGACACGTCTCCGGACGTAGGCCAAACGGGCCATTCTCATCGACACGTACGTCTCCAGACGTAAGCCAAACGGGCCACACACCAATCGACACGTCTCTGGACGTAGGCCAAACAGGTCACACACCATCGACACGTCTCTAGATGTAGGCCAAACGGGCCACACTCATCGACACGTCTCCGTATGTAGGCCAAACGGGCCACACTCATCGACACGTCCCTAGACGTAAGCCAAACGGGCCACACTCATCGACACATCTCTGGACGTAGGCCAAACAGGCCACCTTCATCGACACGTCTCCGGACGTAGGCCAAACGAGCGACCCTCATTGACACGTCTCTGGGCGTAGGCCAAACGGGCCACACTCATCGACACGTTTCCAGACGTAGGTCAAATGAGCCACCATCATCGACACATCTTTGAACGTAGGCCAAACGGGCCACCCTCATCGACACGTCTCCTAGTATAGGTCAAATGGGCCACTTCCATCGACACATCTCCGGACATTGACCAAACATGCCGCAACTTGAGGAAAGACATCCTACTGGATATGTAGAACATGCTCAGAGTCCCTCAAGGGGGACCCTGACACTCATAAATTTTCTAAGGGAAACACACAATTGGCTGGTTACTCAAGCAGTTCACAAGTCGATATGCAAATTGAAGTTGAAAAAATAATTACATTTTCATAGCAAGCTGACCAACCGGCCAAGTTCAACAAAAGGAAGATGGTAAAAAAAGACCAATTATTCTAAAAAAGAAAGCAGACTACAAAAGGTGAAAAGAAATAAAGAAAACTTCATATACTCCGAGGCGCCAACAGGAGACCTCTAAGTTACAGCCTCTTCGACATTCGCCTGATCAGTTATGCCTTCAGCATCCTGATCTGCCTGCTCCATAGCATTTGCCATCATCTCATTTACTGCATCCAATCTTGTGCTCAAAACGGAAGTAGACATCTTTTTGACTAACCAAGCCAGTGGTAGAAGAGGGGGCAACAGCAGACGAGTTTCAAATAGTTTCAGTAATAAGAACCACTCCTTTTTGAAGCAGATGAAATGTGGCTTCCCTTTGTTTTTCCAAGAAAAGGCTCGAGAATGTGCTAAGATCGCCGGCCTGACAGATGTGATCGACCAACTTAGCAAAGAAGGACGGGTGTTATACGAAGTTCGTCTTGAGCAGATCAGACACACATGCATCCCCTACAGGGCTAGACTTGTTCGCCTTCAGATCAACCGCTGACGTTGAAGAAGAACTATTCGCCTAGGCAGATGACTCTCTCATCTTCTTAGCCTCCGCCAACCTCACTTCCAAAGAAGTCAATGATACTGAATCAACTTCACGCTTGACTGGCTGTGACTCAACAGCTGGATCATGAGCAAACCTCCCGCTTCGATCTCCATCTTTTGACCGTGCAGACGACTCGAACTTCGAGGAGGAATGTCTGCATCTCTTTGACGCTCGGCAGAACTAGATCGGGCACAAGTTGCCTCACGATGCAGATCATGGTTTTCAAGCTTGTTAGTAGGAGGCTCGGGCAGAATACCCGAAACATCGTTCATACCACCAACCTGCGTGCTATCTGCGCCCATGAGATGTTTGGCCCTGGTAGATGATCATGGAGCAGACCCCACTTGAGTCTTCTCAGCAGAAGGGAACCTTGGCTTCTTCCTCAATAGAGACACATTCTCTACCTGCGAATGAGTAGCTTCATCTCTTGAAGACTTGGCAGCAGCCTTTCCCTTTTGGGGAGATTCAGTAGAACACTCCTCCTGCCCAACTGGCAGATCTTCAGAATCTGGACCATTCTGCTCACATCTCTCAACATCTTGAGCAGGGGGCAGACCACCACCTCCTTCACTCGGGAGTCCAGGTCCACGAAGGAAGCCCAGTTACAACTGGACAACCCATTGGATAATCTACATCTCCTACATGCCACCACACACCATGTAGAAGCTGGGGGGCATTTGTGGGAATCGAATTAAATCAGACCTTAGGTCAAATGATTCCTTCCATTTGTGGATTATTTGACCTAATTGGGAATTATTCAACCTAATTGGGAGTTACTCAATTTAATTGGGGATTACCCAATTAAATGGAACGTTACCTAATTAGGTTGAGAATTGATTTGATTCCTACCACAATTGGGGATTTGATTTACCCTAATAAATCAAATATTTAATTAATCAAATCAATTCCAAATAGGGGAGGAATAATTCCCTTCCATCTACGGAATTATTCATCTGCAACCCTAGTCTCCAAGACCACTATAAAAGGATAGCCACACACAAGGGTTGAGGTATGTCTAAAACCTCTACTGAAACTCTGCAGAAAATTCCTCTCAAACCCTAGCCACCTCCTCTCTCTTTCTCTCTCTTTTACATAAGGCTCCGGCCGCCCGTTTTACACTCCTTAAACACATCTTCGTACCCTAATTAGCTAGTATTTTTTTTATAAACTCTTGAACTAATTTAGGCATCGGAAGGCCTTTGGCCAACACCCCGCGGGTGTGGCCCTCTTATTTCTTCTATTTTGCAGGGAGAAAGAGAAGGCGAGGAAAGAAGAGGAATCTTTGCAACCGAATATTCTCGTGAGGAAATTTGTACAAACAGTGTGCACTCTGATTAACAACCTCGGAAGAGGAGTTGCTTTGCATCCTAAACGCTACCAGTTTGCTACTCTTTTTGAGCGCCTCAATGGCTGCTACTGCAGAAAGCCTTGGCACAAACGGAAGGCAAATTTGAGGCAAAATTATTTCAATACGCCTTGGGCAACTATTTCTGTCATTGCAGCTGTTTTTCTCCTAATACTGACTTGCATTCAAGCAGTGTGCTCTATTATTTCTGTTATGCCTTCTAAGAACCAGAAGTATTAGTCTCTCCTTAGTTCACCATTTTCTATCCATTGGTCCTTTTTTTTCCTTTCTGTATCATCTGGTAGTAAACAAAGTGTAATGAGTGATTAAAGCAATTAATATGCTTGTTTTATTTGTTGTTTGTTTAGAAGGCCTATATAGTGAGATTGATCTTGCTTCTGTTGTAGAATTTCTAATTGTGTTTGCATATGCTGTATGAGTCTGCAAACTTAAATAGTATAGTATTTTGGACCAAAAACAAAACAAAGGGAAACTCATTAATTCAAATTTATGTAACATAGAATTTATCATTAGTCCGTAGTACCAAGTGGTACTACGTGGTGCTACGTGGTGCTACTTTAGGTTATATATTTATGGTTCTCTCAAATTTATGTAACATATAATTTAGACTTAAAATGCCATGCCCATTACGTGGTGCTCCCTCCACCACAAAATTGGATCAAGTTAGGGGGACTTTATATCGCTATCAAAAAATAAAAAGTGACATATATATCCAATGGTCAAATTTAGGGAGGCACTTGTAGATTGTATGCTTTACATGATGGATTAGATTAGTACTGGAATTTGATCCTTTAAATGATGTGATAAAGGAAGTTTGCTTTGGTGTTACAGACAGAGCATGGAAAATATGTTGTTTTGCGTCTTGGTATGTTTCTGGATACATTAATTCTTGATAGTTTGAGGACTATGATATAAATGAAGGCTTCTCTAAATATGTTGTTTTCCAACGTAACAATTCAACACTCAAACATTGGGGAGAACGAAATTAAGTAGAACCACAACAGCATGCTTTATTATGAGTACAAGTTGAAGTCTATAAGAGAAAACATGATCGGGTTAATTTCAAGCCGTTTCTATAATCTGTGTTTTTCAGGCAACCCGACCACTAATCTCACCTATAAAAGGAGACCACTCTCCCCTTAGAAAAGGATCCCTTGGGCTGGGCTTGACCTTTAGTCATGACCTTCCCCTTTCTTACATTTAAGTTTGGGCCCAACCCCATGTACAAATGTAAATATACAATATTATAATAATGAGAAGATACTTCTCCGTGGACGTAGCCCATTCATTAAGGGTGAACCACGTATATCTTGTCTTTTGTATGTTTATCGCTTGCTCAAATCCTCACACGCTTGG